GGTTTCACATTTTCAAATGCTTTGTCAACCTTAACAACACAAAACCAGCAATGTAAGCAACATGCAGACCAAATTGACAAGTATGCTAGAGTAGATCTAGGCACATACGTGCAGTTATCATCATGGCAAACTGAATTTTCTGAAATCTTTTTTTCATTCTGTTTTTACTGTGAGATGCATTTCCGGCTAAATCAGAAGGCATTTCGTCATCAAGTTCAGTGCCATTGCTAGAGACTGATATTTTTTAAAACATTTGGTAGGAAATTTTGAATTTTGCCTGGGTGGCGACCGAAGCCTACTCTTATCGATTTTAGACCACCAAGGGACCTTTAATTTACGCAATTTGCATACGCGACCTCCGAGATTTTTTCGCCCTTGTCCGAGAAGGCTAGGGGTAGATCTTTCCTACCAGAAGATCAGGGGTGTGGCTGAAAGACAGAGGTAAGAAGGAGCCAAGGAGTAGCAGTAGAAAGGCTGCAGAAAGAGTCCGGAGCCCTGAGGAGGTAGGGGCAGAAAGTGGAGGTGAAAGCAGACGAAAGAGAAAGTAGAAGTTTAGAGAACAAAATTTTTCCGTCACTACTCGGATTCGAACCCAGGACCTTTGAATGAGAGGCCCACCGGACCCGAACGCTACGCAAACTGCCATTCGGTTGACACTAAGTTTACAACTGAGAGAACTGAGCTGATCTCACAAACATGGCCGACCGTCGCCTGCAGCGGCTTCACGTTACGCGACTCGCGGCCTCTCCTATTATAGTTCCTCCAAGATACAAACCATCAAACAAGCACTTTAAGAAATTGTTAGCTGCACCGTACAACACTCCAGTATATTCAATATGATACAAAGCAATTTTCCTCAACATAATACCGGCAGAAGACAACGACACACACAGAGTCAAACTGCACATCCTAGAGACACCGCATGGCAAGCCCGCCTACAAACAACCTTCAGTAACACCCACCACACACCCACCACCATCATGCACATGTACACACTCAAACTTATACACTACACACACACTAACAAAACATGACCAGTGGGCAACTTTTGAACGAATGACGAGCTGAGCTGTGGATGGAGAGACAGTGTGAGTGAAAGAGCGGGTGAAAGGAAGAATGTACGAGCGTTGTATCCACAGGCGACAGCAACTAAACCAGACAACGACACCGACACCCTGGCCTGGTCCACAGCTCACGAACGAAAGGAATGCGGCAAAGGCAGTGTTTTGCCTTAGATTCTATTGTCCATGGTTCGCTGTATGCAAGGGAATGAGTGAGATTATCTTTGTGCGTGCCTGGAGGGAGGGGGTAGGGTGAGAAAGTTATGCGGACGGGGATGAGCCGCGGGAGAGAACACGGGAATTGAATGAGTGATGAAAGAGAGGGACGATTTATGAGCCCTGGAGTGAATGGATCCTGTGTTTCTATTTTGTATACTTTGAATTTTTTCTGAATAAAGGCTGAAAAAGACCGTAAAACAAACACACACACACACACACACACACACACACACACACACACACACACACACACACACACACACACACACACACACACACCTCACTCTCCACTTACACACTTACTACCACACACAGACACACTCATAATACACATGCACACACACACACACACACACACACACACACACACACACACACACACACACACACACACATACAAAAAGATATATACATAGATCAGATCTAGATCTAGGCCTAGACCTAGAGTCTAGATCTAGATCAAGATCAGAGTGGCGCTATTGATTTAGTCGTGTTGTAGGTCTATCATTTTGATAAAATTAAAATTTAATTAGATCTAGATCACTAGATCCAGTGTCCACGTCCACCCATTGTGTATATCTGGTGTGCTGCAATGTCTGGATGGAAAAAGAAATTCCCGAACGACGTCAGATTTGTACTTTTATTTTGTACTAATTAATTTGGAAGAGGGCAGTTTAGCTGCACCTGACAAGTTGCATTATTATGATGACCCATTATAACAAATGATTATTTTATTCGAGAAATGAACTGAACGTATCTAACAGCACCATACTCTGGCGTAATCCCGGTTCATTACCAGTGGCGGTGGGTGGACCAAAATTTGGGTGGGGCTTAGGTTTCTTCCAGTTTTTTACCACCAAATAGCAAGCAATGAGAATTAATCAGTGATGATTTTTCTATACTCACGGTGAGCCACGGCAGTTTGAGAACCATTCAAACGAGAAGAGTTGCCTTTGTTTTCAATCTCTTTGTTCTTAGTTAAATTCTTGTTGATGGTGGGGACAAAACCGATTCACTTCCAAATTTCCTCTAATTAGTTTTTGTGTGATGAAAAAGTTATAACTGTTAAATCTCAGCAGCACAAACACAAACTTGCACACACAGCACTTCAAACATAATACTTCTATGAGTTGGATTAGGTCGTGTAGTCGAGAAAGTTGAACGCACCCAACAAAGAACCAATGAGCGCATAGATATCTGTGTCAGTAGGGGAAAGTGTGTCGTAAACTTTCACCCCATTGTCAGGGCTAGGAGAGCGTGAGCCCTCGGTACAGTGTTATTTTTTCCCAGTCTTCTACCTTTTTACAAGAAGAGTTTCATTAAGGACGGACTGTGGGAAAAGGGCTCATCTTTGCTGAGCCCTAAAGACATTTGATTGGCTGCTGGGTTACTATAGTTGTAAGCGGGAACAACAGTGATTGGATAAGCGAGCAAGCCGCCAGGTTGTTCGCTCTGTGTTCATTGCGTGCGGTCATAACGGTTTCAACTGCTTATTTCATTATGGAGAAACTTTCATTTACTTTGGGATAGAGTTGGGGGTGGTGGTTGGGGAGGGGTAGGGGCTCAAGCCCGTGAGCCCTTCACTACCCACCGCCACTGTTCATTACGGTACACATCATTTGACTATTTGAAACAAAATTAAGGGCAACGTAGAAAGATTTGCACCTATACTCGACTATAAGTGAGGAACAGCGAGACTGGGAGACTAGTACTGTCCACGTAGGATTATGCGATTGTGCGGCCGCGTTTTTTCGCGTAATTCTGCAACATTTGCATAATTTTGGATTCCCCGCGTTTTTTCACGTTTTTTTCCCCCATTCATTTTTCATAAAACAATTAATCAACGCCTCGCCATAATGTGACTAAAGGGAAGTATCACCGTAATAAGTCTCGTTTAAGTGAAAAGTAGATTATTTCCCTTGTTAGAAGATCTTGTGGTTGTTAGGGCCTAGGTTAGGGCTTTTGTTCCTTGAGCATGTTCTATTTTTTAATCAATCAAAAGTTGTTCTCATGTCTGCTGATGTTTCATGTTTGACAGGTGTCCCTGGGTTTAGTAATGTGCCAGCATCAGAGGTCCAGATGTCCTTTTTTCCCCATTTCCCCCCCATTTTCCCCCCATTTTTTCCCCATTTTCCCCTCTATAGATCTACAGCTGAAAGTTACAGAGATTATATAGATCTATATATATATTTTTTTTCCTGATTGATATATATTGTTTTCTTTCCAAATACTCAACAATTTATTGATACTGATATGTTTTGTTTTCAATTTTTCTGTACATAAAACATGACAATTCTTGTTGGAAAATATGTCGCGAATGGTGTTACGGTAACTTGCATAATTTGGCCATCTAAATTTGCATAATTCTACGGGGACAGCTAGTGTTTGGTTGCCCATGGTGAGTGCGCTTTGCAGCGAAGTTTTAAAGTTTTTAAAATTAGATCTAGATCTAGGCTACTTTGCTTAGCCTACAGAGAGGGATAGAAGTAGAAGACGAATATAAATCTAGTGCGCGGAGTAATTAATGCAAATTTTTATATTTCACGTGTGAGATGTCAGCTTAGCCAGCCTATATTATTTCAACGTGAAATATAAGGTTCAGGCGCGGTTCGTCCATAGAGCACGGTCGTGCAGTGCCGCCCAAAATGTTTTAATGTTCTATGACGTAAAGCACCCACAATAATAAAATAAAAGTCGCCAGAAACAAACACTAGCCAAATATTATATCAAAACAAGGCCCTCGCTGGCGCCGTAACTGTCATTTCTATTCTATAGCGCCGTAAAACATCTACTATGCCATGCCTAAGTTCATGCGCTGTATCTAAACATAACAGGATATTCAACAGAGGAAACCTGACCTATAAATCGCTCTTTGGGATAACCCAAGCGATGACGACACTTGTAGAGAGTTTGGCTGTACATTAATATTAATATGACGGCACATCTCAAATGTGCTCCTGCCGAATAGCGCCGAAACATAGCCCACAGTAGGCAATCTAAAAATAAACGCCATAGACTATGCACTATTTCATGCCAAAATTATGTGGACCCCGGAGCAATCCAGCGGAGTGCTCAAGTGAATTGTGATTGGTTCATTGTCTTGTCGCTATTTTAAGTGACTCTGTGACCGTGAACCTGAGGGAGGTGAACGTGACATACTTAAGTTGCCGTCCTATGAGTTGTGCTTTTGAACGGTTTTGTAGTGGAGCGGTGAAAGGTGTTACTTGAGTGTTCAGTTTTAATGCAGGGTGAATGAAATTGACGTTTAGCGAACAAACAGTTTTAGTTCTAGAAGTCAAAGCCACTAGTAAAGAGAATAAAAATAAAAGTACAAGGTTTTCCTTCACCAACCAAAAGATTCTAAAATTATATACCATCCCATTTACTCTGCCCTTGATTATCTTCAGTTTAAGATAGCTTGAATGTGCACACCCACTTTTAAGACCCGCGAGCCGCCCCTGATAAGGATATATTTTACCGGAAGTGCAATGCTAAAACAGCTCCAAAAGTATGGTATAAAAATGCTATCCGTTATTATTAATAACCTCTTTGAAAGAGGACAAAATACATGTAATACATTTGCAAAAATTGCCTGTCGTTTGGCGCCCCACACTAGAAATAAATCAGGCAACCCTGGACCAGAGTTAAAATTATTGTTCGTCCCCATTATGAATGACCCAATGTCTACAGCAGCTTGATATTAAAATTTTGTTGTTTCAGTTTGCTCAGCCTTCCCAGCAGTTTGTTTTTGGAATCATCTCCACACAACCAGCATCATGTCCAGCCCAAAGGTTAAACTCTTCTATATCGACTATATGGGCCGTGCCGAAATGATTCGACTGTTGTTTGCTGCTGCAGGAAAACCTTTTGAGGACATTAGGTTTTCTCTGGAGGATTGGTCTGCAACGTGGAAGTCAAGTATGTGATATTATTGATTTTGTCAATTTAGTTAGATCTAACATTTTTGGTTGGGTTGGGGTATATTTTTTTTCGAAAACGTATCATGTACAACTGTCTCATCAGACTGCCAAGATTATAATAGAATAGTTTTCTTTTTATCTGTAATAGATCATGTAGGAGTTTTGTTATCAAGCAGTATCAGCAATGTAAGTAATAATAATAATAAATATCATTTGTATAGCGCATATCCCCGCTCAACAGCAGGCTCTATGCGCTTTACACTATATTATTACCCCAGCAGACCATAGAACACTCCGAAACATTATCAGCTTCCCGGAAAACATACAGTGCAAGCAGCTGATTAAGCACTCAAACACCAACAAACTGACAAGATCTTTCGCTGTCTATAGCCGGGTACCCATTCCCACCTGGGTGAAGTGAGGAAAGTTCGTGTAAAGTGCCTTTCCCAAGGACACAACGTCGGGTCCTTGACGGGATTCGAACCAACGACCTTACGGTTGCGAGTCCGAGAGACTAACCACTAGGCCACCGACGCCACAAGTATAAGTGATGTACCCCCCCCCCCCCCCCCCACACACAGACTGGTTATCCGGGGTGGCTGAAAAACAAATGAGCGTATCTCAAATACTCCTTCTTTGGTTTATGCGCTGTAAACAGGAACAATTTATTTTTCAAACGTTGCTGTGAATTTATTTACAGGAAAGAGTGGCATGAAGGGCTATCGTCAAGAGGAGTGCAACCAATCGATCTAATTGTGTGTTTCTGTGCGTGTGTGTGTGTGTGTGTGTGTGTGTGTGTGTGTGTGTGTGTGTGTGTGTGCGCGCCTGCATGTGTGTGTGTGTGTGTGTGTGTGTGTGTGTGTGCGCGCGCGCACGCGCGTGTTTATTACTTTATTTCTTATCGACGACTCGCCTGCGCGCACATCAGGAGATAGGAACAGAGATCAGCAAGCAAAATAGTGAACAGCTGCAATTCATATTTTTCGACAATTTATGCCCAAGTCAACACAATCTTTCACACACATGCAAGTAGGCCTATTTGGTCACACTTGCAACTTTATTTTTACTTCACTTTCCTTTCAACACGTTAGCCTATTGATTACGCCATAAAATAACTTGTAGACTTATTAGAAATCAGTTTTGTGCTGCAAACGCTCTGGGTGACTTATGTATTCAGTGTATATCCTGGGGAGCTCAAGAGATAATTTAGGTTTGGGGTTCAGTACCTCGTAAGATTTAAGGTCAGTAGTTTACCAGTTTTCATGACTCAAAATGAGCTAGAATGATATTGACCTCCGAATTACAGCCTTAATTTTCACATTTTTTAAGTACGTCACATTATTCTTCCCATGCTTCACGTAACTGAAATATTTTGGATTTCGTGCTAAAGCACAGTCAGTTTAGACCTTCAAGTATCTTTAACCTACTTCATTCCTTTCCAGAGGCCCCCTTTGGAACGTCACCATGGGTGGAGGTAGATGGAGAAGTCTATGCACAGTCGATAGCTATTGCTAACTATTTTGCCAAGGAGTTTGGTAAGTGAATTAATTTTACACATATACAAAGTCATTTTTGGTGGCTAGAGCTATACACCCATTTTGGTTTTGTGTTTATGGACGTTTTGCAACGTTGGTCATAGTTGCTTTTTAAATGCAGTGCTGACACATGTTGGTTTGTCTTTAAAATGTAGGTGTGTTGTTTAGAACACGACCACTGCTGCTGCTGCTGCTGCTGCTATTTCTGTGGATGATGATGATGATGATGATGATGATGATGATGATGATGATGATGATGATGATGAAGATGATGATGATGATCATCATCATTTTGCAAACTGTTGAAATTAGTCCTCACCCTCAATAATTTTTCATTCAACAATCAAAATTTTCTCCAGCTGACTGGCACAGCGATGGGTACCCCAGTAGCCCCCTCTTATGCCAACATTTTTATGGCTGAATTTTGGCGCAAATATGTCTCCCCCCTTCCCAACCAACCAGTTGTACTTATGCGTTACATGGATGACATTATCGCCTTGCACAATGGTTGCTCTGAAACAACCCTACAATTTCTCACTGATCTGAACAAGGTGCACAACTACATCAAATTTACTTATTCCAGCCCAGATAAGTCCACTTCTTTCCTGGACATGTCCCTTCTCATTGCAGATAACCAAATTGAGACAGACCTGTACAAAAAACCTACCGACTCTAATCGTTACCTCCCACCTTCTTCAAACCATCCTAAACATATATTCCGTTCTGTGGTCTATAGTGGTGCCCTTAGACTACGCCGCATTTGCTCCTGTGAAAATTCTTTTAAACAACGGATAGAGGAATTCACAGTCAACCTCCTTCACAGTGGGTACCAAAAAGATTTTATAACGCCCATTATCGAGAAAGTCAGCAAATTGAACCGCACAACCCTCCTGACCTACAAACCCCTAAAGCCAAAACAGAAAAGACCCTTTTTCGTCATTACTCATCACCAAAAACTACCTAAGGTACATAAAATCCACAGCCAACACAAAAGCATCTTGGAAAAATCAGACAAAATGAAAGCCTGCTTCCCCGACCCTCCTCTGATTGCACTTCGTCAGCCTCCTAATCTTGGCAACCTCCTCATTCGCACTAGAGCAGTAACACCCACGTCCTCACTTCCGGTAAACCCATGTTCCCCGCCTCAAAATTATCCTTGTCAAAAACCTAGATGCAAAACATGTGCCTACATGAAAGTAACCAACTTTGTAGAAGGCCCCCACTTTAAAAGAAAACTTTCCCACAGCATCACTTGTGAAACCAAAAATGTAATCTACCTCATATCCTGTAAAGTCTGTCCAGCTCAATATGTAGGTCAAACTACCACCACACTAAGAGCTAGGTTTAATAACCATAGGTATTCAGTCCAGAAAAACTCCAGCACACCAGTTGGCCAACATTTCAACAGTCCTGGTCACAATGGTACCTCCGATTTGCAGCTTCAGGGAATTGAAATAGTCCAATATCCTACTAAAGAAAAACTTAACCAAAGAGAATCAATGTGGATTTGGAACTTGGGGTCTCACAAAATTCTCACTGGCCTTAACATCGACGAGCCCCATTTTAAGGACCTAAAATTTACAACGTAACGTACTATTCACCCCTTATGTTCCTGCAACACCCTCCCTTTGGCCCTGCCTTTCTGTTATACTCCTTACCTCCACGTACTAGTTCTCTCTCTCTCTCTCTCTCTCTCTCTCTCTCTCTCTCTCTCTCTCTCTCTCCCTCTTTTCCTTTCCCTCTCTCTCTGCCACCTCTGGCCCTAGTGTTTCTCTTTCTCTGGCCTTTCCGATTTGTGTTCACCGCACCCTTCTGTTATTATATTCCTTACTTCCACGCACCTTTCCACCCCACCCCTCTCTCTCTCTCTCTCTCTCTCTCTCTCTACCACTTCTGGCTTTAGTGTTCCCTTCTCTCCGGCGATTTGTACTCACCGCTCCTTTAAATATTCAGACATTTATGTACGCACTTTAGTTTTTATAGCCTGTGTATATGATGATGATGATGGAGATATTTCCGATATTGTCCAAACCACACCAATACGTAACTTATAGTGAACACTTTGTTGCTGTGGCGTCATCACCCAATTATTTTTCTCAAATACTATGTTCCTGATGAAGCCTTATTGGCGAAACGTTGAACTGTGAAATATATATTTTTTTGGGAAATACAACAAGGTCTGAACTGTTTTAATACCTTCTTTATACAATGATGATGATGATGATGATGATGATGATGATGATGATGATGATGATGATGATGATGATGATGATGATGATGATGATGATGATGATTTGTTTTATTTTACTTTATAGTATGGTGTTATTTATTACTTTTGACAATTACTGAACACTATAGATCTAGTTTTTTTTTTTTTTTTTTGTATGTGTTGTTATTTTGTGTGTTTTTGTAAGTTTGTATGTGTGAGGGGAAAGGGGGGGGGGTGTTAGGAGGAGGACAACGTTTGCGCTGACACATGGATCAGTTGGTTAAATGATCTACCAGTTGTATATGTAATGGGTGCGTTTGCTGCCACTTTTCAATTAATGATAATGCAACAGACAGAATATGAGAGGAAAAAAGAGCAACATAATTTAGCTATTTCAGTCCACCAATATAATACCCCAAAGCTCTAAAGGAAAGACCAAGAGCAAAGTATGAATGAGGGGGGGGGAAAAACTTTAAAATTTCAAAATAATACGAAACAAAACATAAATGTTGTGCTCTGATTTCAATATATATTAAGTAGGCAGATGGGTTTTTTAAAACCAGTTTTGGGCTCAGATATCAATTTTTGGAAGTATGTGTCATATTCTGTTAGTACAATTACTCTTCTTTTGATTCCACGTAAAAACTATGAAGTCCTTAGTATCAAAACTGCCATAAAAACATCCTGTATCTTTGGTAACGAGCCCAAATAGAACAGAAATGTTCATGGATGCCATGTTATTTGACCTGCTCAGCAAGTGAAAATCCTCTCTCTATTTTTCTAGACATTTTTTTTTCAAGATATTGTCTTCAAATTTTGCGTGGATGCACTTTAACATATACAATTCACTGTTGCATTGTATTTTAGCTACATGTTAATGTTATTTTTTCCTGTAGGCTTCACTTACCCTACCCCTTAAAATATTTTTGGTCCCCTGAGTTTGGAGATACACTGGCGCTTTAAAAAGTACATATTTATGTAAAATATTTTTGGTCAGTGAGTTGAAGTTATATGTCCACAAGATAATTTCGAAACAAAAATGGACTTATCATGTCCCAAAAAAAAAGATCACCCACCATATGATGCCCAAAATCCAATATGGCAACGGGAAGATTTTCTCGAAAGAGTATGTTTGAATCTTTGCCTGCATGACCCAAGGTATATATAAGAATGCTTGTTTCACGCTATTTTTCTCTATATTAAGAAAAATGGGCTCTAAAAGTAACCTGCCCCCTTAAAACATTTTCTCCAATATTCTTACCAACTGAAAGAAATAGAAGTAAAATAACTCTCGTAGATTCCATATCACACATGCTCATTCTATAATGCGTTTTGATTAATTTATTGAAAAAGAAAAAGAAAAGATTATTTTACTGTGAACATGAAAATAACCCACTGAATTATCCACCTCCTTGCAGGTTTTTTTGGGAAGAACAACAAAGAAGCTCTTCATATCGAACAGATGGTGAACCTCATTCAGGACTTGGTGGTTAAAGCGGCTTCAATTGATGACCAGTATGAGGACCAAGAAAAACATGTTGGTGCTTATCTCAAATCAATCACTCAATCATGCCACTCTTCTGCCATTTAAAAAACTTTTTATCAACTTTAAAATACATAAGCTTCCGTAGAAAAAATAGTCTTTTTTGTTCACTTTTTAAGCAGGAGAGAATTGTGGACACGCCAGTTCAGTTTGTTGTCTATTGTAACACGCAAATACTTATAATCTGACACTTGCTCGACGTTTTTATTTTTAATTTCCAATGGCTGCAGGAACAGTTTCTTTTTTCTAAAATTTTTAGGTTTTTTTCACATGTAAAATTAGCTTATGACTTTCACACCATTCAGAACAATGTAGTACAAAATTCCAGTAAGCATTTTCGGTATGGTCAGCCTGAATGATCCCAATTATGGTTGAATCATCCGCAAATTTGATCAACTTGATGTTACTGTTGTTTATTTGGCAATCGTTCGATCGTGTATAGTGTGAATAAAACTGGTAACAAAATACATCCTACTTTACGGCTCTTGCAACACAATTAGGTCATATTAGTTCCGAAGACAAGAAGTGTTACAAACAAGACACAAAAACAGAGATACAAGGTTAATAATAGTAATAAATGTTTGATAGGAGAGAAGGAGCAGACCACACCAGCGCATGTACGAACCACCCTGAATTCTTTAGCATCTGTGTTATTGAGACTACAAATACAAAGACGGTGGCCTGACATTGCTTTCTCCTGACTTTCTCTTGCCCGAAAGGTTCCATACTTACTTTACTTACTTTTTACTTTTTCCCCCTCAGTTGCCGAGGGGAGATGCAGTTTTCTATAATAATTAATAGGCCAGCTCCGCAGCTCTTTCAGTTGTGATGTTATCTTTTCTTATGGTTTCCTTGACACCCTCGATCTACCTTTTGCGTGGCCTTCCTCTTCCTTTATAGCCTGAGTCTGAGTGCTTGGTGTTGTAGGCTCTCAAGGCTGGCTGGTCCGGTGACATGCGTAACAGGTGGCCAAACCATTTTATCCTCTGTCTTTCTATGTAACGCAGGCAGGACTCAGTGCCGATAGCTGCTCTTACTTCTTCATTTCTCTGCCTGTCTCGTTCCATGATTGCCGTAAATCAATCCTGCTCTCGCTCCATCCTCCATCATAATCATAGTCGGTAGTTACACCATATTCTATTTTATTCTGTACCCCTATTTTTTCTTCCCCCACTCTTTTATAAGGAAGGTCATCCTTCTCTCTCCCCTTCTCTCTCCCTCTTCATCTCCCCCCCCCTCTCTCTCCCTCTCTCTCTCTCTCTCTCCCCTTCTCTCTATAAATCTATCTATCTATTTCGCTTTCTCTTTATCTCTCTCTCTCTTTCTCTCTCTTTCTCTTTCTCCTCTCCTCTCTCTCTGTCTCTCTCTCTCTCTCTCTCTCTCTCTTTCTCTCCCTCTCTTTCACTCTCTCTCTCCCTCTCTCTTTCTCTCTCTCTCTCTC